CCCCCAGGTTTGTCGGGTCTCTTCCCTGCACAGAGAGACTCTGGTACTTTTGTTGAGATGAAAAGTCCACAGAATTAGAGAGAGAGCAACGTCTTCAATGAGTCTGCTGGTCAGACCTTGGGAATCTCTCCAGTAACGGTCACCTGGATCACTGAAGCGTTACTTCCAGGCATCCTGTGGCCCTGTCCCACCCGAGATCCTGGGATGGCGAGCAGTTAGAAGAGACGAGGGGTGTTTGGATCAGTGGTTCTCCCACGCGAGCACCAGAGCAACCTGGAGGTCAGGTGTGGGGCTGAGCACCTGCCTTTCCACGGGTGTTCTGCTGGTCCGGGAGCCCCACTCCGGAAGTGACTGACCGACAGCACACAAGCCCGGCCCTGCGAGTCCTCCGAGAGGACAGAGGAACTGTCGTTCCAGGTGTGGGCAAGGTCCGCTCAGAACAAGCCCCGTGGGCAGCCGCGGGCCTCTGAGCCCAGCAGTGGACACTGTGACCTCGGAGAATCACTGTTCCCGCGGGAAAGCCCCTGTGAACGGCGAAGCGTGACATGAGTTCATGCTAGACGTGTTTTCAGAAGTCACGTTTTCTCAACAATAAACGCTTTCATTCTAACTCCTTGGGTAGGAACCTTTCACCATCATCGTCATCGTCATCACGATAGCAATAGAAGTCGACTGCTGTTCTACTCTACTTTCTGCACCAGGTACCTGACACGTCTTATGTCTATCACTCAAAAACCTCAGAAAATCCGTTTCATCACGTAAAGTCTTTGCTCACCGAAAAGGCTCCAGGCAGGGCAGCCCTTTGGGTGTGTGAAGCCTGCTTTGTAAATGATCTTATTACCGAATTCACAAGCTCACGGGAGGGACAGTGGCCGGGCGGACAGACTGTGGCCCAGGGAGCCGCATCCCGGGGACCAGTGACCGTGTCCGCTTTCCTGGCTGCAGGAGGTTCACGGTGCGACTGTTAAGCGTGTGAAGTGGAAGGTCATCCTGGGCCCCTGGGCAGGTCTGATGTTATCACTGGGCCCGTGTGAGAGGGAGACAGTGCGAGAGAAGGAGCTTTGGGGACGGAAGCAGGGGAAGGGTGAGAGGGAGGGAGGGAGCAGAGGGAGGACAGGGGCACACCCACCAGCCTGGGAAGAGGCCCCTGCTGGCTCTGGAGGCGGCCGGGCTGTGCGGACACCTCTGAGACCGAGGAGAGGCCATGCCACGGGGGAGGCCACCAGCTGACAGTCCCTCTCTCGAGCTGTAAGATGCGTGTAGCCAGTTCCACCAGCGATGGGAATGAGGTTTTCCAATGAACACTCAGAAGCGGGCAGAGCAGAGGCGTATCGGGCTTACAACCACGAAGTCATCCCGGGCACCTGCGCACGTTAACCCAGGGACCCTGTCTAATGAGAGCACAGCCCATAGCAGGACGCGGGTGTAAAGAGCCGTCAGAGGCTGCGGGGAGGAGGGCTCCCTGGACGGAATGTCCAGTATGGTCAGTTGCTCATTTGGCCAGTCAGGGAAGATTCCATCTTCAAACACGGCTCAAACTCTGGTGCCCTCTAGTGGTCAGGAAGTCTCAAGTACCGCTGCAGGGGAGCTCTCCTGTTGGCCTTAGGCTCTGAAAGCGGGGCCCAGCTAGCTTGTCTTCGGCAAAACCGCACACCCCGGAGAAGCTGCACTGAACCATACCTCCACCTGCGGGAGGGCGCTGTGAGCCCATGAGCCCCGCAAACACACCAAGCCTGCTGGGCGAGCGGACGCTGGTCTCTAGTGCTTCTAGGTGGCCCGCGCGGTCCGCTGAGAATGGACGTGGTTCTTTTACAATTAAAATGTAAGGAGAGGACTGAGTGGAATAGCATCTGCCTGGACACTAGACAGCTCTGGGCTGGGACCCAGTGTGGGGCCAGGATTTCGCCTCCACGCTCGGCTCCTCCACAGCCCGAGGCTGGTCGGAGCGTCGTTGGGACCTTGGAGTGAGGGGCATGGACATGTTCCCTCACGTCGGTAGCCAAGGATATTAATAAAAAGAGGACCACTACTGAGAGTCTAGGTTAAGGAGAGGGCTTTTTCTTCCTTTCTCCAGCTAACGGGACCCCAGGTTAGCTTGATTTACAGTCTCGCAATCTGTTAGGCCCATTGTCTGTGCCTCCACTTCAGAGCCCATGAGTAATCACTCCACACACAGTGGTCCATTCTTCCTTTTATTTTTACAAAGCGTGGCAAAGGAGGGAAGAGTCTGCCCAGTGGAAAACCACCCTGACCGCCCCCGCTTTGAGGGGTCATTCACCTTGGCTCCTGGAAAGGGATTTGCCTCTGAAATACGTCTGGTGGTGGGGGAGGGGAAAGGCAGGAGGTCGACACCAACAGTGATCTAAAACGAGGAAGAGCTGAACATAATATAGGTAGCATCTCCTTTATCCTAGTACAAAAATAGTGCCAGAAACTATATATTTGTTCAAATGTATTGAAAAGGTATAAGAATACAAATAGATATTAACAGTGGCTAGTGATGATTCATAAGGTTTTCTTTTCTTAAACTGTCATAGAAATTTATATTTTCAGCTATTTACATCGCTTTCAACAGCATTCATTCAGATGTGTCTACACAGGCTCTTGAGAAGGGCAGGGAGGGCAAAGTGAGCCTCCATCCTTTCTTCCTCGCTCCGTGACGGAGCGGAGGGGTCCGACAGTGCGCAGGTGACCGGCCTGAGGACCGAGGCAGCTCCACTGGTTCTAGAACAAGACCGCCTGCTGTGCACTTTGACCCCTTACATGCTGTTCTGCACACTCTCAGCTACGCGATTCAAGGAGACAGGGTGGTCGCCAACAGGTTAAGTTCCAGGGGAAGTGGTCCTTGGAAAACTGTGTCATACACACGTTACAGATGCAGACGAAGGTGACATAGTGTCCCCCGTATTTTCATGGCAAATCGGCAGGTGCGGCACGAGCTGGTGTCTCACCCAGCCCCGCCTGCTGAGACCGGAGCTCCTTGGGGTGTTGCCCTGTCCCCGTGGCTGAGCCTGGTGCTGGACACGTGGCGGGGACTCGATCGAAGTGGGGAGCTGCCTGTCTGCGACAGCACTGGAAGGAACCGCCCTGCTGTCCTGCAGCAGCTCACGGAGGGGACAGCGGACGTTCCCCTCCCGTCGCCACCCGCCCTCGTGAGCAGAGCGGAGCAGCGCTGCTGGCGGCCGTGCAGGGGGAAGAGCGCAGGGCAAGTGCAGATCAGCGGGGGGGCGGGGGGGGGGCGTCTGTGCACTGGAAAGGGGCACCTCCCTGCCCGGCAGGAGTGTAGCTGTGCCTGCTTCCTCCCAGAACCCGCCATTCCCGGCACATTCGATGGCCAGCACGGCCACGGAGGGACATGGTTCTTCGGAATGGAGATCGGCGGTGAGCACGCCATCGTCCAGGCTGTACTTTAAGGCCAGAAGATCGTTCTGTCTCACACTCGCGTGATGTGCGCGAGAAGCTGAGTGAATGTAACATCATTGAGAAATGACAGGTGGGATGGGATCACCGAGCTCGGGAGCCCCGTGTCCTGTTCTGACAGCGGTCCCCAGGGCCACTGGGGCTGACAGGGTGCTGCCTTCTGTGACACCCTCCAGGAAGACAGAGGCCTCGCCCCAACATGCCTCCTCGCCCCGACATGCCTCCTCGGCTGGTTCAGGCGCACGGAGGCTGTGACCCACACACGCTCACACAGGACCGTGACCGGCACAGGCCAGCGCTTGGGGCCATGCAAGCCAGGGGACCTCGCGGGCAGGTTTTTAACAGGGGGGCTTGGGGGGCTGCACACGGAAATGAAATGGTTGAACATGATCAGCTAAAACAGAACTCCTGCCCTGGCCGGTTTGGCTCAGCGGTTAGAGCGTCGGCCTGCGGTCCGGAGAGACCCGGGTTCGGTTCCCGCTAAGGGCATGTACTTCGGTTGCAGTTTGTCCCCAGCCCTGGTTGGTCGTGCGGGTGGGAGCCACTCGATGTGTCCCTTTCACATCGATGTTTCTCTCTCTCTCTCTTCCTCTCTCTCCCTCCTACTCTATCTGTACAAAAAATGGAAAAATATCCTTGGGTGAGGATAAAAAAAAACAAAAAACAAAAAACAGAACTCCTGCGAGGTGTGGGCAACATGAAAACGCGGTGGGCAAAGGGGTGTGCAGCTGTGGGTACTCGGAACACCTGATGCTCTCATTACGTATTAAGTATTGCATTGTTTCCCATATGAACAGCAATAAGCCTCCTGCCCCACCCTGTGTGTGAGTGTGTGTGTGTGTGTGTGTGTGTGTGTATGTGTGTGTCTAACTTAAGAATACTGGAAAGAAAATATTCACATAAGAATGAAAACTTTGTGCCCACGTACCAGACATTAGTCCAGGTGTGGAACAGTTTTCCTAAAAATTAAAATTATTTGAACCAACTAACCAGCCCTAAAGAAGTACTCCTGTTCTGTATGAACTAAAGTATCCGGGCACGGCCTTGCCTAACTTCTAATTTCTAAACTAGTAAAGCAAAATCCACCATTATCTAAAGGTAAACCAAACAATTTCTATTCTAAATATATCTTTTTGCTTGTTAAAGTGACACCCTACAAATCCTCCAAACCTAATCTATTATGAGTGTTAAAATCTCTGTGATGCCCTGGCCGGTGTGGCCAAGTGGTTAGAACATTGGCCCGAGCACTGAAGGGTCGCAGGTTTGAGTCCAGTCAAGGGCACGTACCTGGGTTGCAGGTTCCATCCCTATCCCTGGTTGGGATACATGTGGGAGGCAACTAATCCGTGTGTCTCTCTCATATCGCTGGCGCTCTCTCTCTCTCTCTCTCTCTTCTCTCTCCACACCCCTTCCTTCCACTCTCTCTAAAAAAAATCAGTGGCCTGGCTGGTGTGGCTCAGTGGTTGAGCATCGACCCATGCACCAAGAGGTCACTGGTTCGATTCCCAGTTGGGGCACATGCCCAGGTTGTGGGCCAAATCCCCAGTGTGGAGCATGCAGGCGGCGGCCAATCGATGTTCTCTCTCATCGATGTTTCTCTCTCTTCCTCTCCCTCTAAAATCAATAAAGAAAAAAAAATTTAAATCAACGGGGAGAAAAAATATCCTTAGGTGAGGATAGACTGAAAATAAAACCTCAGTGACATGCCAGAGGGGCTGAAACAAACCACTAAACATCTGACTCCGGACGTCAGCAGCGGTCACAGGCAGTGAAAAGGCAGGTTACTGAAGATGACACTCGACAGTGTTCTGTGCTAAGGAACCGTGTACGCACCGAAGGTGTACACCGGCACGTGCACACGTGGCTTCCGTGGCAGTGTGTGATTGACACACCGGGGCCACCAAGCGGTCACCTTACAGATCTCATCTGTAGGACGTGAAATACAAAGAGAACAACGTCCTAGAAATACAAGCATTGCGACAAGAGCACAGATGATCACACAGCCCATAACTTTCCAGACTGGCCTTCCCACTACGAAGTGAAGGCCACGCGCTGTGTTCTGCCTTCTTGTTTTGTTTTCCTTTTACCTGAATGGTAAGAACAAAGACACATTATCTCCCGCTACAGATACGTACAGAGGCAGGATTTTAAAACCTCAGACATGTTGCATGTGAGTGCAGAGGAAAAGGACACAAATGGACATGTGTAGTGACAAGTCACTGCTAACGCTGCATCTCCATGTCCCCAAGAGATTTTCTACCCAAACCAGTGAAAGAAACTTCTGGGGGGAGGGAGAGGGGCTTAACAAACCAGACAAATCTCTCTCTTCCTGCTCAAGCCCAAACATGTCCACGGATTCGGAGCAGAGTTGCCCCGGAAGCAGCTGCCGCCCACCTCCTCTGCTTCCCCGATGCTGGGCAAGCGTGACCGGGGCACCGCGCACAGGTGCATGCCGCTGGAGGGGCTCAGCTTCCAAGGAAATGTCCACGCTCCCCAACTGTGTAAAAGCTGTGAGAAGTAGACACCGCCACCCCCAGCTCGAGGCCAGTGTCTAGGGTGCACACCCCCACTTCTGTGCTTCAGGGCTGACCACAAACGCCACACTGCTCGCTTCCCCCCAGGCCTCCGTGTTCTTCCCCCTGGCCCCTGGGAGCGACGTCTGGCCCTCGGCGAAGGGCAGCCCCTGTCTTCTGTGGTCACCACACGTCAGGTCCGAGCTCCCACCGGCCCTGTCTCTCGAATTCCCCTCGAGAAGTAGTGTTCGTTATCAACCGTGGTCCGGGAGATGAACGAGGTCACAGACACGGATCGGGACAGACAGCCGCTGCGCTGGTGGGATCGGCGAGGAGGCCGCACCTGTGCTGTGCAGTGCGGCCCCGCAGGCCTGCCCGTTCACTCGGAGTGCTAACGTTCCCCGTCAACAGCACACTGTTGACAAATATCCACCTGTGTCCTGGGAATCCACGCAGCCACAGCTCTGCTCTATGCCTGAAGCTTTTCAATGCCACAGCGCGCATTCCATTTGCCCCCAGCCTATTTTTGAGAAAGAAGAGATTGCAAACATTCTCGCAAGGTCGGCGATTCCAAAGCCACAGAACGGAGGACGTGACATTCCCCAGCAGAAGCAGCCCACCCGAGCGGGGGAGGCGGCTCCCACTCTGGGCACCCGAGTCCCGTCCCCGTCTGACGGCCAGCAGCGTCCGGCCTCAGCTCGGTGGCGCCACACCGAGATTCGGTCGTCCCCCGAGACCCGTTCCTGCCGAGCTCTCAGACGCTGTGACCACACCATAGGGCAGTGGGAAGGGCACCCCGGCCTGGACAGTGTCCGGCGAGGCCGGGGCCCTGCAGACGGCGGTCTGGGGGCGTCTGCGCCGCACGGGCCGTCAGCTCCGCGGGGCTGGGCCGCTGTCCCCGTTGACCAGCTTCTTCTCCTGCTGCTCCGCCAGGGCCTGCCACTTCTGCCTGTTCTTCCTGCAGCCGTCCAGCAGGGGGAAGCAGTCCTGGGACACGTGGGTCAGGGCCTGGGAGAGCAGAGACAGCCAGCCGCTAGGAGGCAGGAGGTGACAGTCCTGTCCCGGGCGTGCAAGGCCCCCACACACTCTAGCTCATCTCGGGCAGGCCCGGGGGCTTTCCCAGGCTCCCCGATCACACACCAGCGCCCCTCGGAGGGAGGCCGTGTGGAGACACAAAGCACACGCGTTCCAAAACATCAGCGCTGAGCGAGGGAAGCGCCCCGGGGGGGATCCACTTGGCAGAGAAACTGCACGTTCTGCCCTTAACGGAGCACAGATGTCTCCCCAACATGTGACTGGACGGGGACACCTCGGTTTCTGCGTGTGTTCGTTTTTGCTAGAAAATGTTTTTATACCATGTAGTGACACAGATTTCACCCAAGATTTCAATACAGATTAATTCATAATTCTTTGCGGCATTATTATTTTGCAATGACAGTGCCAGAAAGATTTAGACAACAGGATGCTCATTGCAGTTTTCTTTCATAGAGAATGTGGACTTAAATACCCAACAACAGGGTTAGGTAATTTGTGTTACTATTCTGCAGTCTTTACCCCTGTCCTAGAAAAACATCAGACACAGAAAGATGTACATTATGACATATGATGAGCTGCAACAGCCATTTATGTTAAATGAAAGAAAAAAACAGGAACATCAGCATATCGCTGGTAGTGGAATGATAACCTTTTTATCTCTCCTTCTGTTTCTCCGTATTCTCTGACTTAATGAGGACTTTGATTTAATGATTTTACTTCTTCTGTGAAAGACACTAGCAAACACACATCAGTACACACAGAATTGCAGGGTGGAGTCAATGAAAGGCAGCCCTGTACGCACAGGGACTAGAGGGGACTCTATCATCGTGGGAGATCTGACTGTGACTTTGACTGCGTTTCCGAGCCCGGGGGAAAATCAGGAGACACGTTGGTATCTTGAACCCTTGCTCTGGGGGAAAGGGCCTGTCATGGAACGAGCAGAAGCTCGGGTGTTGGAAGCGGTGCTCTGAGCCCACCTGCGCAGAGGCCTGGACGAGGGGGCCCGCCGCAGAGGGGAGACAGTGCAGATGCCATTCAGCCCCTGCTCCAGCCTCTTCCCTCGCCGTCTCTCCTGCCCTTTCCTCCCCCTCCTTCCTCAGCTGCCCCCGCGTTGTGGTGAAATCCTTCTGATGCCTACGAACCAGGACTTGGGGGATAACGGACTCCGTGCACCTGCTCGACGGGGCCAATATGCCAGCATCCTGAGAGATGAACTTCCCAGACCCAGTTACTGGATCTGGGAAATGTCTGGACTCCGGGGTTTCTTCTGGCCTCAACTTTCTACGAAAACACCAGGATAAATGCTCTTTTCCCAAATGAAACTTACGATAGTTTCCTGTGTAACGTTCGAAAGACAAGGGCAGCATCCATTTTCTGAACTCGGGGTATAAACATCACAACTAGTAAGCTGGATGTTTTCGGGGACTACCTTGAACTCGAGAATAAAATCCCCAGCCGGCAGGTGTCTGGAAATGGGAACTGATGGTATTCTTCTATCCATCTCCTTTTAATCCTCACGGATATTTCATTACTAATATTAAGCTACACTGTAGAATGAGAGGGTTGGAGAATCAGTTTTCTTTATTTGGGTCAAAACTTACACTTAAAAAGAATCTGCTGACATGGGGCGTGCCCAGTACACCCCCTCAGGGACCGCTCGGGCTCATCGGCCGTAGGGTCCCTGCGCTAGCTCAGAGCCTGGCATACAGCAGGCGCTCAATAGATGGCCATACTTCGGTGAACTGAAGTTTCCGAGAAACTGTAAATAAAATGTGTTCCCTGTTCGCTGCATGTTCCTTGGCAGGAGAAACAACACGTGTGAGCCTAATGTCAATCCCTTCCATTAACTTGAGGTTTTAATACATAGCAACCCGAGCTTAGCAGGTCTCGTTTCCACAGACATACCTCATACAGCTGTAAGCAGATGGCGTCTATGAAGCCGACTTGCATACTCGGGATTTTGTTCTTCTTCTCCCTGTTCATGAGATCCTGGAAACACACAGGGCCTGCGGTCACTTAAGAACACATGCTCATTGGCTCCGAAACTCCAGTCACTGGCCAGCTGAGAAGCCTGCCACCTCCTCACCTGCCTCCGTACCCAGCCGGCACCGTGCTCAGGAAGGCCCTGGTCCCCGGCCCCGTCTGTCCTGCTGTGATGTTCCCACACCCCCCCGGAACTGTTCACTGACCTACAGTCCCCCACTGACAGAGTCAACCACGGACCCACAGCCCACCACTGACCTAGAACTCACCTTTGACCTAGATTGTACCATGGTCCCAGAGTTAACTAGTGACCTAGAGCTGATCACTGACCTACACTTGACCATTGTCCTAGAGTCAACCACTGACCTAGAGCTGACCATTAACCTAGAGCTGATCACTGACCACTGTCCTAGAGCTGACCGCTGACCTAGATTTGATCATTGTCCTAGCGTTGACTATTGACCTAGACTTGACCAGTGTCCTAGAGTCAACCACTGACCTAGAGCTGATCACTGACCTACACTTGACCATTGTCCTAGAGTCAACCACTGACCTAGAGCTGACCAATAACCTAGAGCTGATCACTGACCACTGTCCTAGAGCTGACCACTGACCTAGATTTGATCATTGTCCTAGCGTTGACTATTGACCTAGACTTGACCAGTGTCCTAGAGTCAACCACTGACCTAGAGCTGATCACTGACTTAGAATTGACCATTGTCCTAAAGTCCACCGCTGACCTACAGTCCACCACTGATCTGAAGTTCATTGCTGATGTAGAATCTACCACTGACATGAGTTTGGAGAATACACAGGCTTTGAACTGTCGCTGCTGTGCAATCAGACACCCTCACTCTGCGGAAGGAGGAGCTGAGGCCACAGCTGACTACAGCTCAGCTCACACAGAGCGTTCGGGAGAGGAGGGTGTGGATGTTGCTGCGGCTTCTCCCAAGAGCTCAGTAGGGGAGCACCGGTGAGCCTGGCACCTTGCGGGAAGCACGAGTCTGTCTGGGGGCCTGTTTAGAGCCGAGCGAATTGTCCTTGGCTGTGGTCACCGCCCTGCCCGCCACTCTGCAGGGAGATGCCGAGCTTCTGAACAAGCCCACCGTCACGCTACGGAGGGCTGAGACGGGGAGACGCAGGGTGTCCCCAGCGGAGGACAACGAACACAGGCCACTCAACCACGTCCCATGTAATATGGGCTCAATACGTGTTTGTTTGAATTGAAAAGAGAAAACAAGGGAAAAGACTCTAGGCTTCGTTTTCAGGAAAAACTCATTCCAAAAGGGGGTGAGTCTGCGAGGAAACCCTTTCTTGTATTTGAGATGCAAACTCTATGCGAAAGGCAGCACGTGTAAAACCCTCCAAAGTCTCCGTGTCCTTCGACACAGCGCTTCTGGGAAGTCATCCTAACAAGACGACGAAAATGTTCAGCGACACAGATGTTCGCCCAGGGCGGTGTGGAACGGTGGCCACACAAACATCAGGCCGCAGGAAGTGGTGGACTGCGGTTACATCTATTTTATGTAACCATGTAAATAATAGACAGAAGGGCATCTGTTAGAATGGAAAGTGGCTTATGGTATTTAAATGGAAAAACTACCCCAAGGGGTATACTATGATGGAGCCAAAATGAGAGGAAACTGTGTTCCTAAGGAGACACCTCACTGATGCCAAGAAGGAAGTTTATCATAAAAAAGCACTTGAATAATTATTCAAACAGTTGCCACCAGCAGGGTCTCATACTCACCGCGGGCTCTATGTTGAGTTCCTTCCTCTCTTTGTCTCCTTGGTCAAAAAATTCAGCTGCTACAAGCTCCGCTATCTGGAATGAACAACAGAGGATGTTCCGGCGACCAATTCGTGTCGCTCCGTGACACTGAACGCAGATGACAAACTCTACCCAATCGGTAGCTTTCTAGCACGTTGGTAAATTAGAATAAAGCCGTGATGGAGCGTGAGGTGCTGCCTCGTCCACTTTACAGGTGCGCCTAGTCACCTGTAACCACTGGAAAGGGCCGACGCGTCATTTCAACCTCAGCGCTTCGTGGGCAGAGATGCAGTGTGAGCCCCTCTGCTCCGTGGATGAGGCCTCCGGCACCTGTCACCCCCGGGGTGTGAGCACACACCACACAGGTGTGTCTACTGTGATGGGTGCAGAGGGCTTGTGCATTTTTATTAACCTACGGGATCCTCCTCTTCTCTCTCTAAAAATGTTCATCTGTTGCTCTTGTTGAATGAAGTGGGTTGTTTATCCTGCAGTTCCCCTCCCAGATTTGCTGATTGACTCCCTCTGGGGTCCTGTAGTGCCTGTGCCCTGTATTTCCACGCGCTGGTAATGAGATTGGGAGCCCGATTCGTTTGAGACTGGAACTTTTTTTTTTTTTTTTATCCTCACCCGAGGAGATTTTTCCATTTTTTGTTCAGGTAGAGTGGGAGGGAGAGAGAGGAACAGAGAGAGAGAAACATCGATGTGAAAGGGACACATCGAGTGGCTGCCACCCGCACAACCGACCAGGGCCGGGGACAAACTGCAACCGAGGTACATGCCCTTAGCGGGAACCGAACCCGGGTCTCTCAGGACCGCAGGCCGACGCTCTAACCGCTGAACCAAACCAGCCAGGGCGAGACTGGAACTTTTTAATTTACATGTTTGCCCTGGCCCATGACCACTTCCTGGCGGCGCTGTGCGCCCCATCGAGGGCTCTCTAACGCGGCCTGGGCCTCCCTTCCTGACGTCAGCAGCCACGGGTGACCTCGGTCGAGGTCCAGTTATTAGGGGCTGCAGAGGCTGCTTTTCAATCAGTCATCCCTTTTCCTTTATTAGTCGACATACAATAAAGAGAAAGTTAATTACTTAACTACCCTGAAGTACAATTGGTATTTTTTAAAAAAAAAAAAACAAGAGAAATGCTTGATCTTCTCCACTCTAATTACCATTAAAAAACAAAAAACAAAAAACTGTTCACCAAAGCATCCGCTACAGATGAGGAGGGAAGGTTCTGTGTTATTATCTTCATTATTCCTCTGAACTCTGAAACGTAACCGTGTTCAGTGTGCTCCGACCCCTAATGATGCCGTCGGTTGTTCCATTTCGGCCGGTGGGAGCGCATCAGGTGGACTTCTCTGTCCCTCTGCCGGGACCTGCGTCCCTCCCTGCCTTCCTGCCAGCTCACGGGTGCGTCTCCACTTCAGAATCACCACAGACGCTTTCTTTCCCGAGCTCCCGCTTCTCTACACGGAGGTGTGTACAAACCCAGGTAGCGCGAGGTTGGCCCGCTCACCACGGTGATCGCCGGATTCAAGCCCTTCCGGGGGACGGAGCCAGGGCACAGAGCAGGTTCATCCAGTCTCAGACTCACAGCCAGTGGGACAGGATTATGCCTCAGATCTTCACCTTCAACCACGCCCCGAATCCTGGTTCTCCACCACCCACCCCATCTCTCAATTCCATCCTACACCACTCACTGCAGGGGCTGAATATCGAGACAGCGTCACCACTCATGAAATTACTACTGACAACAGCTTTAAGGGCTTTTTCTTTCTTTTTTTGGACAGTTCTTTTTGTTTTTAAGGTACATCCTACTAGAGAGACCTGGTCCAGTGATTGTGTTGATATCACCTGGAATGAAACAGTCCGCAGTGTGGTTTCACAACCCATATTAGGTTTGTTTCATTTCATTTTCAAGGTTTAGTGATGTCTAAAATTCAATTTGCATTGACCATTGTGAACACTATTTACATGGTTCCAAAGTTGGACCTACGAAACAAGCCCAGCCCAGCGGCTCTGTGTCCATCCCCACCCCTTCAACCCCACCCCCAAGGAGCGGCTCATGAACTCTGCCTGTGCTTACTCCTCCCCTGTAATCGCTCCAGTCCACAGGTGACGTGCACCTCTTTTCACACCTGCAGAGGACGCACTGCGCAAATGGGCTCAGGTTACCTGGGCGGCACCTACTGGCGAACACTTGGCCTAGTTCCAGTCTCTGCTGTTACAAGCAGCACTAAGATGAATAGCCGTGTGTAAATAAGTTTTCCTGTTCTCACCAGTCTATCTTTGGGAGGAGAGTCCTGGCAGGAATAATAAGTGACGGTGTGTATTTCTACACTTCCAAAGGGTTACAGCAGTTTGCATTCCTTGTCTTCCCACAGCGCCCCCAACAGACAATGTTCCAAACCTTCGCATTTTTGACAACCGGACAGTTGAGAAAAGGTATCTCAGTGAGTGTGCGAGTGTGTGTGCGAGTGTGTTAATGAAGTAGAATGTACATACCGTGAATTGCACAGATCACAGGTATGCATTTCAATGCCCTGACAGGTGCCTATGACCAGGTAACATGCACCCACCCAGGTGCAGACGGTGCCCTGGTGACCCTTCCCAGGTAGTGCTCGCCTCTCCTTCCCTCCCTCCCCCCAACCACTGTTTTACTTCCTTTCACCATAGATTAGTTTTGCCTGTTCTAGAACTTCATATACATGGAATCCCAGTGTGTATTCTTCAGCGTCCTTTCTTTCTTCCAAATCAGACCCCAGGAAGTGCTCACGAGGCGAATCCAGGCTGTTGCGCACGCTTCTGACAGGCGCTGGGGTTGATTCTGGTCTCTCACTACTGGGAATGAGGCCGTTAGGGGACCACACAGGCTTTGTGTGCGTGTGTGTGCGAGCATAATTTCATGTGCATTCTTCCTTCCGACTGAGGTTCTGAGAACCTCTCCGAATGAGGAGGAGCCGTGCTCATTGCTTTTTCTTTCTTTTTTTTTTTTTTTTTATCCTCACCCGAGGACATTTTTCCATTTTTTGTTCAGATAGAGCAGGAGGGAGAGAGAGGAAGAGAGAGAGAGAGAAACATCGATGTGAAGGGACACATCGAGTGGCTGCCACCTGCACGACCAACCAGGGCCGGGGACAAACTGCAACCGAGGTACATGCCCTTAGCGGGAACCGAACCCGGGTCTCTCTGTACCACAGGCCGACGCTCTAACCGCTGAGCCAAACCGGCCAGGGATCATTGCTTTTTCTATCAGCTTTTTGTTCAAACCTTTGGCCCATTTCTCTGTGGGGGGTTGGCCTTTTTCTTCTTTGCTTTTTAGCAGTTCTGTAATATTAGAGATGTTAACTACCCAGCTGAGAGAAGTTGCAAATATGTTGCCAGCTTCTCATGGTCCTTGGCATGGCTCACAGCATCTGCCATGCAGGAGTTCTGTTTCCTCATTTCTATGGAATCAAATGGATCAATCTTTTTCTTTATTGTTTTTGTATGTCAAACCATGGTTAGGGAGGTCCTCTCCTTCCCGGGTCACAGAAGAATCCACACGTGTTTTTGTTTAGTATTGGGACGGTTTGCCGAGTGGACCCCATTTTGCCCCGCGCCATCTGGCTGTGGATACGGGGAAATCACCCTGACACCGTTGAGTTGAAATTCCACGTCGCCGTGGTTTTCAGCGCTCTCTCCATCCCACACTACGTGTCCTGGGCCGTTCCAGGCGTTCTGTCGACCTCGCTGCCCGTCGCCCGCACCACATGCTTTGATCACAGAAGCTTCACCTCCCTGCTCTGCCTTCCCGAGGTCTGATGTGGAAGAAAGAGAGGCCCATGAAAATAGAAATTCTTCCCTCTTCCATTATTAAAGGGATGTGCTCCAAACCTCTCTAAGTGAGCCAGAAGTAGTACTTACCGAAGGAAACTTACCAACGGCCAGGGTTTTGCTCTGTTCACACAGGTGTTCTCTTTCTCAATATGGCTTACAAATATTAATAAGTGCTAAAGAATCTTCCACAGAAGAAAACTTGTTTATGTCCAATGACCTGCTTTTGACGCTACTTAAGAATTAGGTAAGTGCCACAAATACTTCAGAAGCTACCTTTAAGAGTAAAGACTTTTCTTATTTTGATTTTTTAAAAAAGTCATTCAGAGAGAGAGGAAGGGAGAGAGAGAGAGAAATATCGATGACAGAGAACATCGACTGGCCGCCTCCTGCACGCCCCCCACGGGGATGGGGCCGACCACCTGCGCTCTGACCTGGAATCGAACCGGCGACCTCCTGGTGCAGGGTCGACGCTCAACCACTGAGCCGCACCGGCCAGGCTAGTTTTTAATGATTCCTTTTACCACCACCGATCAACATACCCGCTGCTGAATGGGCCAGGGTTTCGTGATGGCAGACAGGTCGCAGGCCGTCATCAGCATGGCCCTGCAGGGGAGAAAGAAGCCCACAGCCCTGTGAACTCCGCTGGGAGTGTTGTCCTCCTCGACCGTCACTAGCACAGAGGCCCAGTGAAGACCCTCTAACCACGGGGATGGCCGTTGACAGAGACGGAAGAAACAGAAGCAGGGTTTATGCAGACACGTGGCTGATTTTGTGGTGTCTGAGGGTCACCGTTCTGGTCACCCAGCGAACTACTGGCCTTCGCCCTCCGGCCGCCTCCTCTAGCCCCGCATGGCAGAGGGGAGACGGCACTAGCCCTCGGCCACGCTGGCTGCTGCTCTTACTGTTTTCCCCTTGGTGCCCCTCCCAGGGAGCGTCTGACCGATACACTGATGCTAGTGACCAGCCGTTACAGTCACACATGCTGATGAAAGGCCTGTGGGAGCGGAATTATGGGGGTCACCCCCATCCCTCGCTCACGCAGTGACTTTGCGTTATCGGCGTCTGCCGGCAATGGCAGGAGGTGCTCCCAGTCTGTCTCTTGTGGGCCTCGGGGGTCCGGGACCAGGCACTGCAGACCCTGGCCCCATGACTGCCCCATGGAAATAGTGCCGCCTCAGCACAGTGTTTTCCCATCTGGTCCAAACACCTGCCACCTCATCCTCTGAACTGGTTGGAAGGAGCAGGCAAGAAGGCCGCCGCGGGGCGTGGACGCGCTCAGGGAAGGCCCGCTGGTCGCTGTAGCAAACCCAGCCTGAGTTGCTTCCCCCTAAGTCCTGCCCCTTCTCCACCCCTTATGTCACGGCCACGCTCCTGGGAGAGACGAGCGCACCAGGCGCTCCCATCACGGCTCAGAGCATCTCCACGAGGGGCGTCGGTAGAACTTGCCAACACAAGCAGCCGCCCGCAAAGCACACTCCGCGCCGGCCCGCGCCGAGTGGGGTGCACCGCGAAGAGCGGGGCCACGGTACGTGACCCCGGAGACCTCGCGGGCACGGGGAGGACAGCGCAGCGGCGGACCCCGGGCCCAGGCTGGGTCTCGTGGCGACCGAGGCCAGCTGGTCTGCGCTCACGTCCCTACGGCTGGCCTGAACCTCGAGGACGTGAGGACGCTGCACTGCGACATGACCGCAGGACGGACGGCTGGGCTTCTGGGCTGCGGCCTCAGAATCCGCGCCTCCAGGCTAAGCAGTGACAATCCCTTTCTAGAAAGTCACCGTCCTGGGAATCGCATGTCCTAGCACTGCCTGTGTTCTTTCCTCTGATACAGTCCTCGCCCTGCGAAGGGAGTCAAGGCAACGGCCAGGGGACGGCGTCCACGGCGCGAGGGGCGGGCAGGGGTACGCGTGGGGGACACACACGCATCTGGGAGCGCCCAGTGGACGGCCGTGCGGCTCTGCCGTCATCTTCCAGAGCAGGAAACGCTTCCCGGCCGGCTCCTTGCACACACAGCTCACAGGCTGCCATGTGCAGCCCTCTCGTCCCAAAGAACCGGGAGGTGAACGCGGGAGCCGGGGGCCGGGGGCGGCCGCCCCGCCGTGTGCTCATGCTCCTTCTCGAGCAGAGGAACGACGCGCTCGCTTGAATTCACAAGAGCATTTCTCTCCTCTTGAAAAGAAACCCACGTTCCGCCTGCTGTAAACACTGGCGAACTCCGATAGCCCCTAAGATCACCATGTCGTCCCAAACAATCCCAATAAAACCCGCCAGTGACCAAGTCCACAGGGCAGCTCAGCCCCAGCTTGAAGGTCAAGAAGGAAGGCTACTCACAGAAACAGCTCCTTTTGGTGAGGGTCTTCTAAGCTGAATTGGTTTTTCCTGATCAGTTCAAAGAACTCTCCTCGCCGCCTTGAAAATCAAGAAAAATATTTGGTGGTTATGAGGAGTCCCGAAGGCTCTAATCTGGTCCTTGCGGTCTATAAAGAATCATGGATTCCATCTGGGGGCAAAATAAAAAATAAAATCTCGAATGGCTTTTACCCACCTTAGAACCCAACATAAAAATCATTATTTCGAAATCACCCCATTATTTCAAATATCTCACTTTTCCTCCTCCTACCGTGTCCTCCGGGTGGAGCACTGACCCCCACTTAGCACAGATCCCAAGGACGGTGTCGCCGTTCCTGAGTGTGACTCGAAGAAAGTGAGACGGTGTGTGTCAGAATGTGATGCTGAGCACGACTCAAGGAATTTCAAATGGGTGGCGTAAGAAGAGCTGTATGATTTCAGTTCAGTGTCACAGGACCCGTATGTATCGTGAGACAGGGTAGAAAAGAAATAAGGTCAGGACAAGTGCCCTGTGTCAGTGGGACGTACTTCTGAAGCGAAGAGAGACGGCGAACACGGGGAACGCGCGTTCATTGGGCGCCCAGCGAGTCCCCCCATGTGCCCAGCACTGTTAGCATCTCGGGGAGCCATCAGGAAACAGGGACCGTATGGGACAAAATGGACTGTGCGTGACTGAGGACCGAACATGCAACGCAGGTGTCGGGAGGGTTCCGAGGAGACCCACGCGGCCGGGGAAGGTGGGGAAGGCCCTGTGGTTACGGGGCCTTTTCAAATTCCTGGTCATTCGATCATCTGTATGCGGCAATCGTTTTGAATCAACTGGAATGCGCTCAGAGTTCTATCATCCTAACTGCCCGGAAAGTCTCCCGAATTCAAGGAGCAGAGACCTCCGAGGCGGTCTCTTCCCGTCTGCCTGTTGGCTGTTTTATGTCCCTAAAGGGCTGAAAGCAGAGGTGCGGGCAGGGAGGCGCCGTGTCTAGGCCGCAGTCCCGTGTGCAAGCCACCGCCTGCCCCGCGGTGCGTGCACACCCTCGGGTGTACACTCTAAGTTCCGAATCAGTGGCTTCACAGCCCCGCACTGCTGCCTCTAAGAAACCCCGCGGTCTGGGGAGCGGCTGGGCCAGAGCGTCTGGGCCACAGCTCGACGTTTCCCGACGTGAACCTGCGAACTTCCAGGACCGACATCCCGGTGATTTCTCGGAACTTACTTGATGTACAGGGCTAGGTCTGTAGCCAAAATCGCTTGCTTGATTATTTTCAGCGCGGTCTTGTACTCTTCGATGGACAGGCCGCTGAGAATCTGATTGCCCTTCAGAAGAAAGGAAAACCGTGGTCAGCGCCCCACCCGGAGAAGCTGCCGACAAGAACAGAGCGGAAATGTAGTCACAGATGAAACGCGTCTTGGAGTCGGACCCGTGCATGGGGGGCACCTGCTCACTCGGGGGCATGCTCGGAAGCAACGTTTCTCCTCTCTGCTCCCACTGCCCCGTCACGTGAAACCACGGCTTCACCACAGCGCCTGCCACGTGTGCGTGTGTGCACCCGCTGCCCACCGCAGGCCTCGTCCAGGCCGGACACCTAACATTCCAGCTGCCCGACACTGCAACATCAGAGCCCGTGAACAAAGAAGGGGGTGGTGGAACTCTGAGATAACTGATCACGAAACATTGTTTCTCCATGGCCTCTGTGATGAATCCAGCAACATCTGCCCAATTGTATCTAAGTTAGCTTAGCATCCCCGCAGTGTGCTCCGAGGGCAAGGGCCCATGGCAGGCTTCCTGGCACGTAGCTGTGGTTTGAAGCACCAATAAGGACTAATGAAAAGGGGACCAGTGCAAATACTCAGAGTTCTCACTCCATAACCCTCTGTATGTCCTGCCTGCAATGGAAAACACACCTCTTATCCTGAACTGAGTAAAACACGCCTCGGGTTCTCAGAATGACTCACGAAGTCAGATCGCGTTCTACACCCCAGGCCGAGGAAAACCCAGGGGCTCAGGATGGGGACCCAGAGGCAGGGGGTGGTTCTGAACACAGGGGAGCGGCAGGGTGCTGGGCCGGGCGGACCCTTTGCATGGAGGACGGCTAGATGCCGAGACTGGGCACAGATCTGACGACGCATCTGTGGTTACGGCCATCCACATTATTTTTCTTTTCCTTATTGATTTTAGAGAGAGGAAGGGAGAGGGAGAGAGAGACAGAAACATCGATGAGACAGAACATCGACTGGTCGCCTCTTGCATGCCACCCACTAGGAATTGGGCCCACAACCTGCGCATGTGCCCTGACCGGGAATTGCACCAGCGACCTCTTGGTGCAGGGTCAACACTCAACCACTGAGCCACACCAGCCAGGCCATAAATATTACTGTTAAATATCAAATCATTTTAGATTCTGGGCCAAACAAAATGATCCAGAAAATATCTTCTGACCCTCTAATTATTAGAAGGCAAAACCATGTCGAGAGGAAAAGGAAAGGTCTTTGGGTGTTAGTTCGTACCCCCGACCCCCCGGGAAAGGCTGTAGGTTCCCGTATATTGGTGCTCCCAGAGACAGAGCCCGAGGCCTGCACACGTACCCCAGGGTCCTCCCATGTCTACTAAGAACAATGTGTCACACACATTACATTGACGTAGCCGTGGTAGGAAAACGGTTAAACACGATTTGTAGAAGAGGTGAGCATAGTTTCTTTCTAAAAGCAGAACAGGATGTTACACTAAAAGCTTCAGCTAAAGCACAGAGCGCAGATCCCAAGGTGACCGCAGATGTCCCCGTTACAACACGGCACGCACATTCCTGAGAAGTCCCCGTTCTGTAAGACTGCACCCTAAAAATACCAGGGTTACGGGGAAGACATGTCGGGGCAACTACCCAGAGCCACTGCAAACCGGAGCGCGAGCCGGGCCAAGGACGGGCCCGTCCAGCTGAGGCAGGCTGCCCTGAGGAGGGTGAAGGTGCGGACAGACGGAGGGGAAGGCGGGGGTGGGGCCCCGGGGCCCAGAGCAGAGCACAGTGGTCGCCTCGGGCCGCCCGCCGTCCTCAGTGTTCTGAGCCAGGACGCAAGGGCTGCTCGGCAGGAGCAGTTTCCTTTCTTGCTGAAGGTCAGCAGTCGGCGCCCACGAGTCCGGCGCCCTTCCCAGGAGGACGTCTCTGCCAACGGCCCTGACGCATCATCCCCGCTCGCCGACGCACGGGGATGAATTCACGTGAAACAATCTCACTGTGCGAGACCACGCGCAAGATCTGTAAGGAGGGTGCCAGACCGGGTGCGTGACTCCTGACCTTTGCGCACACCCAGGCTCAGGGACAGGCGAGACAGTGAGGGGACCTCCAGTGAGGGCGGGGGTCCCTGCGCATCCCTGGACGTGTGTCTGACCCCCGTCTGCAGACTGACTGCACAGAGAGGCTGCGCCCTGGGGCAGCCTGTGCCCTTGGTCTGGAGGCACGGCGTGGACTTGAATCCTGTCCGCTCCCAGTGGACCACGGAGAGGGCAAGAGAACCTGGGCAGAAAGGGGCACACAGCGACCGACCAGGTCTCAGGAGCGGAGGAAGGAGCCCCACGGTGATCAGGGACAGGTGGTCATGCACATTAGGACACGTCCCAGGGGAAAGCCCAGTGCGGGTGCTTGGCCGGGACCAGGAAATCACTCCTCAGAAAAGAACTCGGTTTCTGCACCCACTGCGCATCAGGAGCATCGCGCACAACTTTGGAGGATGTTCTGCCTCACCTCTGCCCTAGTCTCCCTCTGTCCTCCAAGTCTCGGGGTTCGGGGTGTGGAAGGAGTTAGAAACCCAGGTGGGGATGGGAGAAGCCAGAAGGCAGTCAAGGGAGGCTAAGTCAAGGCCGGACTCTGGACTCGGACACAGGACCAGGCATGTGGATTTCTAAATCGAGATTCGTCTATGACATGTTAAGGTCTAAAGTGGCTGGGGTGCCCTGGCTGGTTTGGCGCAGTGGCTGGAGCATCAGCCAGCAGACCAAAGACTCGTGGGTTCGATTCCGGTCAAGGGCACGTATCTCAGTTGTGGTTCAGTCCCTGGCCCTGGTTGGGGTCGTGTGGGAGGCAGCCAGTTGATGTGTCTCTCTCACATCGGTGTTTCTCTCTCTCTCTCCCTCCCTCCCACTCTATCTGGAAAAAAAAAGGGAATAAAGTGGCTGCAGAGGTGACCAGGCAAGTCACAGGCCACCCTGAGGCTCCCTCTGCAGCCCACAGAAGCAGAGGCAGACAAACTGCTTTAGGAGGGTACCCTGTGCCTGTGCCCTGTGCCTGTGCCCTGTGCCTGTGCCTGTGCCCACAGCAGGTGTAACTCAACTCACGCATGCACACAGTACATAATGTGAGGAATGAACAAACCGGAATAAGAAAATAAAAAGTATTCTGTTGACTAGGCAAAAACAACCATCGCGAACATGCTGGTGTACATTTTCTCAATCTAATTTTCCTCGACATAAGTACGACTAGCATAGCAGGCCATTTGCTTTCTCACAATGATAAATACTCATTTCTCGAAGCTGTTGAACAGCTTCATTCCTGAACAATTTGTTCCTGGGCAGAAGTTTCAATAAAAAGAGGCAAAGGTACTCGAGAGCTGTACCAAAAAAAAAAAAAGGGCAGAATTAACTAAGAGCCAGAAAACACGTTTTGCTCGTTTCTGAGCTGGAATCATGAGGAAGGACCCCGAGGCGGCCAGAAGCAAACCACCCCACTGGGCAGCGCTGACCGTGTGGCGTCTGGAGGAGCCAGGCTGGGGGGACCTCAGTGTCCCGGCTTTCTTTCCTTACCCAAAAAGGAATAAAGCAGGCGCAAGAATTATGATCCTGGGCACGGGCCCAAAACTTAAAAATACAGCTGAGTTTACACAGCTCTCCCCTCGGACCCCGCGCCGGGCGCTCACCGGACTGTTGAGGACCATGAGGCACTGGTCGAAGTGGTGGTGCTCCAGGGTCGAGTGGCAGTACAGCTGGGCCAGGGGGTGCTCGCTTCTGCAGGGACGGGGCGGAGAGAACACAGAGCACGGTCAGCTTCCGCGGCACGCAGTTCAGCGACCTCCTCCTTGTCACACTGGCTCACCAGGAAAGAGGCTATTGCACACCATCCATCACACCAACCACTTCCCCGTCTTGCTGAGAAAAGGGAGGCGATATGTGGGAAATGAGTATAACGAGTCCAGCGGTTTCCAGAGGCTGGTTCAGAGTGTAAGCAATCCCATCGGCTGGACGAAGGGCAAAGTACTCACTGCTCTGGACTTGGAAAAGGGGTCTCTGAAATAGCCGCACCTGTAAGTTTTCAAAGTCACGGCTATGATTAGTTTAGAATCTGAAACAAAGTTCATGCTGGCCTTTCCCGTGATGCTCTCTCCTTTCCTGAGCCCCGGGGGGAGAGGGGGGACTGTCTGAGGGGGACCCAGCCGGGGTGTGAGTGATGGATGCAAGGGAGGGACAGCTGTTCCCCAGGCAGGACCCGGCGTTTCGGTGCAGCGGTCCTGGGAGCTCCGTAGACTGGATTTGGGGGGCAGGAGGGACGCCTGGCTGAGTGAAGGGGGCAGGGTCCCTTACTCAGTTCATGACATGTAGCAGAAGGTCACAAATCAAGTCCCAAAGCGTGACGCGTGCAGCCCAAGCCTCAGGTTTCTCATGACCCTGCGCATGTGAGCGGAAGGCACACTTTCTATTCTTTAAAAGGAAAAGTCCGTCCCGAACGTCTCTGTTCTAAGTTTACAGCACTGCCGTCTGAGTGAAGCGCCACACCAGGTCCGAAAACACAACTTCTACTCTCCTTATATGACCACGGGAATTGTTCTTCTGCTTCGCAGTTAATTCGGGGACACAGAGAAGCTGCCCAAGACCAAAGAAACGTAATAGGAGAAGTACGAGCTTAGGGAAACCAAGCAAGAGTACTCTCTGCTTGCTGCCCCCACAGGCTGCCCCAGGCTGCCCTGCTTGGTCACTGCGACCTGTCCCACTAGCTCCTGCCTCCTGTGACCTCTGGCCCTCCCGTCCTTAGTGAGTGGTTCTGTGGGTGATGACTACTCATCGATGGAGTCAGAAGGGCAGACCTGCGGAAAGACATCCACGTGCTAGAACCAGGACAGAGATGATGCATGGAGATGAGGTAACCTGTTCTAGAACCGAGGTAGGAGAAGGTCGGGGCCAGAGTGGCAGAATCCTACGGAGAGACGCAGAATTAGCGGAGAACTGCTCTGGGATAGACCAGATGGCAGCTGCTAGGCTACATTTCACCTTGTCATTTACTGACAAGGAATCAAGGGAGGAGATGGCTGGGGACTAGCTGAGCTGGCACTGTTGGTTTTAAGGTACCTGCGGGACACTGGGTGGGTATGAATGTCTGAGCTCAGGAACACGTCAACGTGTGGAAGACAGCCGGGCCACGGAGCAGGTGAGATGGTGCAGGAAGATGGAGGACACGTACAGAGAGCCTCGGGCAATAGACCCCATGTCCCTTCCGAGTCCTGCCCCATGACAGCGTTTGCCCATCACTCAGATGTCACGTGCTAACGTCACCTCCAGCCTAGCCTCTGCCTCCTTCCACCCTAGGGCGGCCTCTGCCCACTTCGAGGTCCACAAGTTGCCCGCGCTGTCTTGGCTGCCCTTTGCGTCTCCAGAGCTGGCTGCCCCTGGGACCCCAAGCCAGCCCATGGCTCCAGCTCATTCCCGTCCCCGTGTTACAGAGCAGACGTGGCCCTGGGGCAGGCGAGTCCTGCAGGACAAATACACCCAGTCTGAAACTTCATCCTGATTTCACTGAATCTTCAATCTTGAAAAAATTCATTTGATCATTTTACCTCTTCTAATACCAACCCATTTATCATTTCCCCCTCACTGCCAAGCTCCTCTACCCCCCTCTTTTTCATGGCTGCCCCTGGAGCACACATACCTGCATGTACACCTGCACACATAACTGCACACACACCTGTATGCACACCTGCATGCCCATCTGTACTTATCTGCATGCACAGCACACTTGCATGTACACCTGCACGCACACCTGCATGCACACCTGCACTCACACCTGCACACACACCTGCACGCACACCTGCACGCACACCTGCATGCACACCTACATGCCCATCTGCACTTATCTGCATGCACACCTGTGCACACACCTGCATGCACACTTGCATGTACACCTGCACACACACCTGCATGCACACTTGCACATACACTTGCATTCACACCTACACACACACCTGCATGCCCATCTGCACTTATCTGCATGCACACCTGTGCACACACCTGCATGCACACTTGCATGTACACCTGCACACACCTGCATGCACACTTGCACATACACCTGCACTCACATCTGCACACACCTGCATGCACACCTGCATGCACACTTGCACATACACTTGCATTCACACCTACACACACCTGCACGCACACCTGCATGCACACCTGCACTTATCTGCATGCACACCCGTGCACATACCTGCATACACACTTGCATGTACACCTGCATGCACATCTGCATGCATACCTGCATGTACTCCTCAGTTCTTTCATTTTCATCAGTGGCACCATCTTTGTTCCAATTTCTTGGACCAGGAGTCATGATTTTCCCCCTTCTTCCATGCATATAACTAGCTGTTCTACAGCGAATTAAAAAATTTTCTCCTTCAGTCTCTCCCGTTGAGCCAGAATGTGATTTCACCATGCGCCTGGCTTGCTAGCTGAACTCTGGGGCTCTCATTTCTACCCTTTTCCTTGTACCTTCAGACTCTTCTTCCTAAACAATGTCCTTGGTTTCTGGCCACGTCAAACCTGACACGCACCGCTGACTCTTAATGCTCTCTCCCTCCCAGGGTACCTTCTACCTGTTCATTTGTCACCTTCCATCCCTGGTCAGTGAGCCATCAGCATGCCCATGGCAATGCCCCCCTCCCGGGTTTCTGGGATGTCTTCATCCACCTCCTCGCATCCTGCCCACGTTTTAAGATCCCGTGGAAGTCTCGCTTCCCCCACTCACAGTGGACATGGAGCGCGCTGGTGCTGGCCGCCCCCCATGCTGGGCAGGCAGCCCCCACCACGAAACAGCTGGGACTCGTAGTTCCCTCCTTGCAGTGAGCCCTGTGGGAGGCTGAATACCCCCGGGTCCGGAAACCACAGTTCATGGCTCTCGTTCTGCCAGCCCAGCGCCAGGCCCTCGTCACTGGTCATTATCCGGCTGCCAAAAACGTCGGCTAATTTCACTGTACTACCTTATAAAACACCAAACCCGAATCTAACCAAGTAAATGGACTGATCACTGACTTCTTACGCTGACTGCAGGCCTAACCGTTCTCGACATGAGCCGCTCGTGACCACGTACTCTCTCTGGTGGGTGTCTCTGTACATCGGCCACCGGTGCCCGGAGCTGCCTGTCGGTAAAATAACCCACTGTCTGCATGAGCCCCTGAGCTTCGCCCCCGTGGAGACGCGAGCAGAGGGCAAACTCCCGTCTCCCTGCGTGCTGGGCCCTCCTCCCGGGGCAGCCTTCCTGATCCAGGGAGGAAGTAAAGAATCCCACAATGGATCAAAACAAGGGGATCTACTTCAAACAACTTCCGGAAAAGTGATCAAGAAGAACGGCCGGCCGGCAAAGTTCAGGTTCTAACTTTTCTCCCACGCGAGGGCTTTCTCTTTTCGACGTGTTCTCTGATTGCGGTGCCTTCTCTCACTGTGTTGGGTCCCTCGCCACGGTGTCTGAGTGTCTGAGGAGTGGGACAGAGCGGACCTCTCAGCAGCTGTCCTTCGTGCGGGAAAGTCCACGGCCGTCTCACCCTCCCGAGGGAGGGCCCCGCCCTTTCCCACTCAGGAAAGAAGAAACACTCTGAAAAACTCTGGTTTCCTCTCCTCCAACCGCAGGGATGTGGGGAGAAATGAGTCTCTGACACCCCTTTAGTTTTCCACTGAAGTTACCATGACGGTGAAGTCGGCTCTGTGGTGTGTGTGAGCAAGATTCTGCGGCGGCGCCTTTTCCCAGGCATTGTTTCTGAGATGACGTCTCTCCAGATGTTTTTCTGGGTCAGTATTTTTAAATAAACAAAGGAAAAAGCAGCCGAATGTCTCGGCCTTCCCGGCGGAGCAGCACAACGTCCAGGCCGAACACTAACGTCACGCTCGCTCCGAGTCCTTCGAACGACAGGCTCCGCAGCCACAGGGCCGCGCCGGGGACCCGGCCGCCCACCGGCGCTCGGCGTGAAGGAGGAAACCGCCCGTCTCTGACCCTCCGGCGAACTGCCGTCCTCCCATCGCGGGTCAGCGGGCAAGCTCCGGCTCCGCAATTCTTCCTGCATGAAGTCTTCTGTTTATTTAGATAAAGGGACCGTGATGAGAGCCTGAAAGTCCCTCAAGATACCAGACATCTGGAATTTCCTGAGGAGACCTACCCATCAGTGGAATCACTTACACATTTGTTCAAAATGCTCAGTACAGAGAGATTTTCCCTTTAGAGTGTAGGCTCTTTGACGAAGTTGCTGCGAGAAAATGAAAATGTCACAGTGGCTCAAAAACCCGATGAAAAGTGACGTCACCTTCACATCCGTTGATCTTCCTCCCCAGACCAGCCAAGAAGCAGGCTGGTGATGATCAGGGGACTGTCACCAGCATCGGCTGCTAAGACTTATTCAACAGTGCGTACCAGCCTTGACGGGGTGCTGACGCGTGAGCTCCCGAACCCGCACCGGCCCGCGAGGCAGGGACGCTGCCCTCCCAGCTCCACAAGTCAGGGAGCCGAGGTGCGGAGGGAGGGGCGCCCTTGCCCTCGGTCAGGTCACCCACGGACTGTGTGAGAGGAAGGACTGGAATCGGAGTCCGGCCACAGAGCCAGGGGCCCCAACACCGGGGTACACACAGCGCCTTCCCCAAGACCAAACCTCCTCCCCCCAAGTGCTGATGAAGGACGGGGGCTCCAGCTAAGCGCTCAAGGATCACCTTTGCCCTTGGGGTGACACCCTACCTTTTCTGAGTTAGTCTTTACACCTTTTCTACGAGGCTCTTAAGCTCAACCTAAAACAAAGCTCTTGGTAATTATCTCATGAAATAAGACTCTGAACCTAAGTGTTTCTCAGCCTCAGGCCACAGAGGTCACCGCCAGGGCAGGGGACTCGCCTCCTTTCTCCATCTCCCAACCCCCCCCCCCCCCCCCCGCAAACACAGCCGGGGTACGCTGCAGGCCCGCCGCCCCCTGGCGTCCGGAGCACGCGGTTTTGCCTTCGCTTTACGCGGGACAGCCGGGCACCTGGAGAGGAAGGCCCTGCCGTCAGGCGGGGGCCGGCTCACCGCTGGATGTAAGAGTTGTTCACGCCTCGGTGGTCCAGGTCGTGGCTCAGGGCGGCAATGAGCAGGGCCAGCACCTCCAGCTCCGACAGCTTGCTCTGCAGGGATGCGGGGAGGGGGGAGAGGGACGCGGTGAGGGCACTGGCCACCTCTGTGGAGTCGCCCCGTCTTTGCTCAGTGCTTTGCATAGCGCTGCTGCGGGGTCTCCGAGGACCCCCGAGGGAGCCCTGATCCACAGGGAAGCAGCTGCACCCCGTCTTCAGAACGGGGTCATTGCCAATGTCACTCACCAACGAAAAGGTGACCCTCCCAATGATCTGTGAATGTCTGTGAATGATCAGATAAGCTCGGAACCCTCAGGTCTCCCTGACCTCTAGCTCCCAGCTGCTTCTGTGACCTTCAGGACCTTCCGGCTCTGCCTGTGCCCTCAAGGCACACAGACATGCGGACGTTCAGGGAAACAATGCACCGAAGGGGATTAGGGACGAAACTATGGCTTTAAAACGTTGCCTAGGACACTCCAAGGCCAAGCCCAGGTCATTTCTGGGGCTGTCCTTTGCATTCTCCAGCGCCACGTTCTCAGCAGGACAACACCCACTGAGAGCCCCTCCGCTCCGTTCTGCCGGGATCCCCAACGCTCCCCCGAGCACCGTCCCGACATGCACGGAAGCCAGCACTTGGGTGCTCTTCACAAAAGCCAGGACAGGTTCGGCGGTGGGGTCCCCGTGACCTCCCGGGCTCCGACACGAATCGGGCCTGTTCCTACGATCGTCCGCCGCGGCGGGAGAACAGGACTCGGGGTGGGGCTCCCTCCGGCCTGCGGTTAAGGGTGCCCCCCTGAGGAAGCAGCAGCAGAGGTGCCAGTCCTGGGGTTCAGGACCAAACCGCACGGGAGCTCTGGGTGCGAGAGTTCTGTGTGGGGGCTGGGATCCCTGCCCAAGGACGACTAGGCGGTTCCCACCGATGCTGGAGTCCAAGGACAGGGATGGCAGACTGTGGCCTGGGGAGGAGGGACGCGACCTCGCGGGCACTGTCTGCTCGGCGCCTGTGAAATGGACAGAGCTCAAGGGAACCCGTGACCGGGAGCCCGGACTCATCTATGGACTCACGCTCCCGAGCCGAGGGGCCTGGACGGATGCTCCTAGGGTGCAGGCTGACTGCGAACGTCAGTCCTTTCTCTCAGTTTCCCCCGAAGGGCATGGTTATTTGCCCAAGCACCATTTAAACTGAACACGAAGTTATTTGAAGATCATGTTACTATGCAACATATACATACTACACGAAAGAATGTTAGCGACTAAGTATTTTGCCATACTCGCTTTCTTTCATTAAGATATAATTTATTTCGTAACTGGCAATAAGTGGTATTCTCAATCATCATTAGTGCACATTTTTAAAAAACCTCAGTCTGGCCAGGGTGGCTCAGTGGTTGAGCATCGACCCATGCAGCAAGAGGCTGCCGGTTCGATTCCTGGTCAGGGCACATGCCCGGGTTGTGGGCCCGATCCCCAGTGCGGGGCGTGCAGGAGGCGGCCAATCGATGTTCTCGCTCATCGATGTTCCTATCTCTCTCTCCCTCTCCCTTCCTCTCTCTAATATCAAGAAAGGGAAAAACATTTTAAAATGCTTTCTCTTAAACAACAAACAAACCTGAAGGGTACGCTGCGTATTGCACTACCGCGGCCACAACGTGCCTCGGCCACAGAAATGTCTACCACGGCCACAACGCGCCTCGGCCACAGAAATGTCTACCACGGCCACAACGCGCCTCGGCCACAGAAATGTCTACCACGGCCACAACGCGCCTCGGCCACAGAAATGTCTACCACGGCCACAACGTGCCTCGGCCACAGAAATGTCTACCACGGCCACAACGTGCCTCGGCCACAGAAATGTCTACCACGGCCACAACGTGCCTCGGCCACAGAAATGTCTACCACAACCACAACGCGCCTCGGCCACAGAAATGTCTACCACGGCCACAACGTGCCTCGGCCACAGAAATGTCTGTAAAAAGCACCTGGATTTTGCCGGCTTTGAGGGCAGCAAACATGCACTGGGCCGTGTTGAAGGCGTGTCTCCAATTATGGTAGGCGACGTTCTTCCGGTAATTCTTCTTCACACTCAAAATCCACCTGCAGAGCACCTGTGGGAAGAGACCGTGCGTGGTTACCACAGTGCCGACACTCACGTGAGCCACATGGCTGCGGAGCTCACCCTGTGACCACACCGGCTCCATCAGAGGCCGACCGCAAGCCGGCTCTAAGAGAGCTGTTTGGGGCCCAGCAGGGTGCTGACTAGCTTCCTGAAACGTATAGTGTCCACGTGTCATCAATTAGGAGAGTCCAGCAGAGGGTCACATATGGCGGCGGGCTCACTGTCAGAGGGCCACGCAAGGGGCCACGCCACGTTCTTCTCAGGCTCCTGCTATTTGTCCCCAAAGGTGTTTGGTGTGAGGCTCTGGGGTTGACTGGCGACAAGGTTTAGGGCTCGTGTTCATGGGCAGCTGCCAGGCCTGATGCAGTCATTAGTCCTGGTCCCTTGGAAACTAAGCCTGAACACGCAGACGGAGTTGCTGCTTGGTAACCAAGATGTGGTTGAAAAAAATAAATAAGTAAATGCCAAATAGCGCCCCGAGCTCCACATGAAAAAATTACTTTAAAGATGGAAGAAAACAGGAGAGCCTGCTGAGAAGAGTCGCACAAGCTGGGTTTAATTCAGCTTCTAAGCGGTGCGTGTGGAATCAAAGCCCCAGGGAGGCGAGCTCCCTCCGCGGCTGCTCTGTGTCTGCGTCACCATCGAGCGGCCTCTTTCCAATTCCGGACGATCTCCGAGGCTCCCGGGGGTCTGTCAGAATAACAAGCGTGTGCCGGTCCCTACGCACATCACTGGAGACGCTTGGAACACAAAGACGTGCCCTGGGGACTGGGAAGAGCGCTGGAACAATGGCCAGCACTGTCAGAAGTAGGTCAGAGCCAAGGTCTCCTCTCGCTGGCCTGGCGGAACTGCTGGTCGAGGAGGGGGGTCCGGGGTTTTGTGCCCTCCTCCTTCTCTTCGGGCCTTTCTGTCCCAGTCCTTGACACTGATCCAGGGAGCCCGAGTACCCCTCGCTCCTCCCGTCCCTGGTACCACGCCTGGCGGAAGATCTGAGCGCTCACCCCACGTCCGCACACCTTCTTCCATGAGGACCCTTCGCAGCGGGGCTAGCCAGGAACACGACAGCTTCGTCTTACTGGACACATTTTATTATTACTGAAGATGTTACAGATAGCCTTCCTTTCTTTGCCCTGCGGACTCCCCACCCCTGCCTTCCCACACCATCGTCTGTGTCCGTGGTGCATATATGTGTATAGGTTCTTTGCTTTATCTCTTCCCGCTCCCCTCCCCCATCCCGCTGAGGTTGTCAGTCTGTTCCCTGCCTCCACGTCTCTGGATCTATGTTGTTCGTCAGTTTATTTTGTTCATTAGATTCCGCAAATAAGTGAGATCGTGTGATACTTGTCTTTCTCTGACCGGCTGATTTCGCTTAACATAATTATTGGGGATTTTAAGTAAGAACTATAAACTTGTGTTGTTGTTTTTGTTTTTCCTTTTTAAACTTTTCTTTATTGTTGAATGTATTACAGATGCCCCCGCCCCCGCCTCCCCACACTGCTGTCCGTGTCCGTTGGTCATGCGTAGACGCACAGAAGTTCTTCAGTTTCTCTCTTCCCGCCCCACCTCCCCCCTCCCTTTGAGGTTCCTCAGTCTAACCACCAATTTGTACCTCCTAATCCCCTCATCTTTTCCACCCAACCCCCTCCCATCTGGTCACCAACAAAAAGTTTTCTGTATCTACGAGTCTGTTTCTGTGCTGCTCGATCATTTTGTTTGTAGATTCGGTTGTCGATCTGTATCTATTGCCATTTTATTGTTCATATTTTTTTATCTTCTTCTCCGAGAAGACCCGTCAACATTTCATTCAATACCGGTTTGGCGGTGGTGAACGTCTTCAGCTTCTTGTCTGGGAAACTCTCGAAACTTGCTTTTGATAGGCTTCGAAACGAGGCAGGGAAGTACTGAATAACTGGTATTGATGAAGGGATCAAGGAAAACCCAGAAATCTAACTACGGACGTATCATCTAAGGGTGAAACAGGCTTTGGTGAAGCTGAAGAGAGAACGAGGCCCAGCCCCCAATTACACCGTGAAGGCTGCTGTGTTCACCTCCTCCTGCACGTCCGCCCCGAGTTGTCATCCCGACGGGCGAGGCTTCGGAGAGCGGACACACTCACTGTGGAACCGTGTCCCCAGCACCGTGCGGGGCCCACTGACCACGCCAGTCAACTCGCATTTCATGAATTAACAGACGGCCACACGGCGAGGCCTTGGCGGTATTTAAATTCCCGAGAGGAGATCCGTACCGGGAGTCTAGACGTCCGCTGACCGGAAACCAACAGCTTCGCGGCAAACGACTGGACTCGTTTGGCGGACGGCCCCCTCCTCCCTCGTGTTCTCCGGCGCTGGTGCACGGCCAGGTAAACAACGAGGGGCCCCCGTCTCTTCAGACTGCGTTTGGAGGGTGCGGATTGGCCCTGCTTTTCCGGGAGGCCAGTGAGGTTGTCGACGTTGGCAACAGCCTGTGTTCATCTTCCCCGCACGGCGGCCCCGTGGGGACCCAGAGCTCCCCACAGTCGCCTTCACCCCCCATTTCAGAGACGCTCGCTCAGTCTGGCCCTAACAGTGCTGTCGCAACTCTGCAGTCACACCATGTCGCCTCTCTGCTTCCAACTCCCTGGTGACCCCACTGTCGCCAGGACAAGATCCCGGTTCCTCCGATCCACTTGCGAGGGTCCATGTGCCTGGCTTCGCACCTCCCTGCCCAGTGCTTCCCTGCCAGCCTCCCCTGGAGGTGCCCACCCCCCCGTCTTCCTGCCTTCGCACACCCCAGCTCACGTTGGGAAGACTCCCCTAGTCTACAGCCTGGTGGGACCCCGATGAATGTCTTCATGGGGCTTGGTAATTTTCTTTTTAATTCTCTGGTAGGGTTAGGCTACAGTATATCAATCACTGAAACTTAAAAATCCGTATTTCACACAAGCATCCAAAACTAATTCTCTTACACACACGCACACACTCACATACACACACGTGTACTCACTGACATGCACACACAAACATAACACGTGCACTCACACGCGCGTGCACACACACGCGCGTGCCAGAGGACGTCGCTGTATGCCCACCTCGTGTTTCATCTGGAAGTTCTGCACCAGGTTGAGGTCGGTGAACATCCGGATGGTGCACAGCGCTGTTTCCAGGTCAGACAGCTCGAAGTCGCTGAAGCTGAAGTCTGTGATTCTCAGGGTCTGGGCCGACGGCACCACGGCAGCCTGGTGACAGGAGGGGTGCAGCGTGAATGAGTACCCTGGCTTCGCCGTGGGGGAGCACCCGTGTCTGCCCCCCCCCCCATGCACTGGGGACCTTCCTCTAGGGCGCAGCGGAGAGACAGGCGCTGCTCCAGACGGAACCTGGCCCAGGACTCGGGACGAAGGCCCGCACAGCGGTCCCTTTATGCCTCCCCGGTGTTCATGTCGTCCTGGCCTGTCCTGGCCTGTCCCAGGGCTGTGGGCTGGGTATCAAGTGGGGAGCAGGACAGGGATGATGTTCTGAGCATTTTGCGTGTAATTCTCAGACAACCATTTTTCAGGCCCAGAAACTCAAGCACAGGGGTTAACTTCCTGTCCCCTGGGAGACAAGCAGATGGGGATCCTGCTTCTGCAGCTCTGGGCTGGTTTTGAGACGCTGGTTTTGTTTCTGGGAGGGGCTGTCTGAGGACCACCCTTGGTGTTGGTCCCATAGCCAGGGGACCGTCGTTAACACCAGCAGTTCCGTCGGACACCTCGCTCCGTGGTCCTCCTGCTTGTCCCGGAAGCACCTACTCTGAGTGAGGAGCCCCTTTAAGGCGCCGTCCCCACCCACAGGAGGGTCAGTGCCTCCAGAGCTGACCCCGGCTTGGGAACGCCTGTGAAATTACTGGGCGTTCACTCCGACGTCATTTCCTGTGTTGCTTCGGACCACAGTGGGATCGACACTTCTTCGTATCCGTCGTGATTATGGATAGATACTGTTTGAAACGTGTTAATATGAACATGGATTAAACAAATGCAAGAGAGACGTGTCATTCCCTTCACTTAATCTGAGTCCTAAGTTCGATTTTAGGACGAGAACCTCTGGGGAGGGGAAGCTCTAAAGCTGGGTTGGAAAAGTCACAGACCTGGCACATGCCTCCTGATCACTTTCATTTGCGGCTGCATGTTATTAAAAACCACCAGATGTGTTACATCGTTTTAAGCAAAAATAATGGATTTCCGGCTTCTCCTGAGACATCAGGTCACACTGAGCCCCAACTCCCACGAAGCAACACCACACACGTCCAAGGCGTCCTGGCTCCCCAGACAAGCACGGCCGTCGGCATCTCCCCTAATTTGCTCTGGAGCTCGGGGATCGGCACGGGCAGGAACCCCCACTCCCTGCCCCCCGGGGCCATTCCACATGCCAGCACGTCAGCCAGATGGGGCCCAGTCACTGATGAGAGGAAGCTCTGGTTTGGTGCCGGCAGAGGGAAGAAAATTAAGCATCTGAATCAGGTTTCCCCCCTTAAGGCATTTTCCTTGACTCCCTCCAAAGCCCTTAGGTCTCCTGTGAATATCTGGGATCTCACTACTCTGCTTCACCTCCACCTTTTGGGAAGTAAAAAGGTCAAATGATAAGATCTTATGGAGGTCCAACAGGTGTGGCTCGGTGGTTGAGCGTCGACCCTGCACCAAGAGGTCGCCGGTTCGATTCCGGTCCGGACACATGCCCAGGTTGTGGGCCTGATCCCCAGTGGGGGGCGTGCAGGAGGCGGCCAATCGATGTTCTCTCTCATCGATGTTTCTGTCTCTCTCTCCCTCTCCCTTCCTCTCTCTCTACAATCAATAAAGGGAAAAAACAAAAACAATAAACGCTCTTACAGAGTAATCAGAGCTTTCCCTACCAACGAGGGCACTCGGACCTTCTCCTGGGCACCGTGACCTGCGCATCTGACGTGCATACACCAGGCACGTTTCAACTTTAAATGAACATCCCCGCTTCCGACTCCAAATACGACTTTTCCCAAGCCCCCGCTCCACGAGAAAATGTGCGTCGTGTTAAGTGAGTCCCCCGGGTCTGGCGTGGGCTGCAGGGGAAGAGGGTTTGGGATGTTTACTTAAGGGCTTCCTGGCTCCGACCCACAGCGGAGCGGAGAGCTCAGTGAGGAGGGGAACAGCCACCTCCAACGCACAGCGGAGCAGCTGTCCCCCCGCGACCCTGACGGGCGCACACGTGTTTCCCTGCGGCATCGTTAGTCACGAGCAGGAAGTCTTCTTTCCTTCCCCGAGGGTATTCTCGCTTCTCGGGGCAGAGAGGCCGGCGCAGCTGCGCCTGCTCCACAGACGCTCCGCCCGCTGGCCCTCCCGAGAGCCTGTCCCCGCCGCTCCTGGTCCGCCCCGCCGCGCCCCTTCCCGGGCCGGCCTCCGCGCAGGGCCCTGCGCTCAGGGGCACAGAGGCCGGGGGCCTTGGGATCCGTGACTACCGCCATGAGAAAGTCACACGTCATTTAGAGCTCGAGGGGCCACCTCCAGGGCACTCAGCTTTCTGTCTGCCTTGAACGGGCCCGGAAAGATGGTTTTCTAAGACCAACTATTCTGCATTTTCCGAATAGCAGGGAGTTCGGTCTGTGCTATTTCCGGGGCAGGTTATGTGCTCGCGATTCTCACCGCTTCTTTTAGCGACGGCTTGGTTGTTAGAATCTGCCAAGTGAGATTCCTGACTTTGTTTTTCTTCACGGGGTAACACAGCTCGCTGCCTTGTGGTGTTGAAGACGAACAGAAATGACAGTTTTAAAGATCCTATAAAGCGAGAAGGTGCAATAAGGTGCATCTGTCTGATGACTGCAAACCCCTGCTCAAAACGGGAACCGTGACACCATCTTGGTCCCAGGAGCTGCTCCCCCCTCCACGTGCTGCGAGTTTTCATTTGTGTCAAATGAACCGAGTAACGGAATGCAAGCAGCGCACACGGCTCGCGGGGACAGACGCAGCCCGGAGAAACGCTCGGCAGCAGAACCTCATTTTCCTCTCTGTTCTCAGACCAACAGAGAAACCGGTGTGCCTCTCGTGACTCTTCGGAGGAAGTTCTCCACGTCAGTCGCCTGCCCGTGACTCTTTCTCTCAATGCTCTGGCCCCTTGTCACCATTCCTGTGAAATTTTTAAAACCAAGCAACTCTGGGGGTGAAACCACCAGGAGGGGCACTGCACACATCGTTGGGAGAGGGGTGGACTGAGCTAAAAGCAGCAGCGCTCAGAGGTATAGAAACACCTCCTTTCTCAGCTGTCCTTAACCAAACCCCGTTGTTCCAGACAGCCGCTGACCGACAGGAGCTGGTGAGCGTGGTCACCAGCCGGAATCCCATCGGCTCCCACATCTGCAGGTCAGGGACACTGAGCATCACAGAGAGACACTTCAAAGTGAGGTGACGCACACGGGCACAGGACTGCTTGCTGCCACCCCGAGCGACCTGTCACCCGTCTGCCCGTTCCTTCAGCTGTAACGCGGGGAGGTTGGGTTCGACTGTCTCCAAGGCTCGATGTCTCTGGCCTTCTCACTCTGGAACCAAATTCCACAGAGTGAAGGTCACCTTGCCAGGGACCTTCCGGGACACAGCCAAGCTCTGTCTCTGACTCTGAGCCCTTAAGGTCCGTGGACGGACGCACCTTAGCTGCTGTGTTCACGTGGCTTTTCCATGCTCCAGACTTTTGGAAAGCATAGACTCTAGCATGAAATAACACAGCTCAAGCTCCGTCAAACCGTTCAACAAGACTTTGCGTTTTCTTCCCCTTTAAAAAATTACGGAGCTAGAAATCAGGTAAGAGCCGACTAAACATGTAAGACGGCCGGCTTGCTGGCGGTAGAGCCAGACCTGTCCAGGGCGCTGAGATGCAGTGTCGTTGACCACTCTGATCTTCGTGAATAAATACGGCACAGGTCAAGAACACGGGTCTGGAGAGAGACGCCCAGCCAAGCCCCGCGCGGTGACCCCAGGCGATGCCACGCACCAAGTTGTGACGGTCAGCTACATCAAGCGTCCGCTCTGGGTGATGCCCCGCAAGTAGAGATCTGGTCACACGGTACAGACAGACGGTGTGCTCTGTTCCTACCACCCACGAGGCTGGCTCCCACACGGCTGGTCCGCCCACCAGTTCTACCTAGGCCTACAGGTGAGCATGTGCGTCCTCGGGGCACGTGGTTAGACTGGCCTGGGCGGGCAGACCGGGAACACAAAGATCTCTGTGCGGCTGCTCCTTGGTTTTGAGGACACATTTTCCTCCCACGATGTCCACTCCCAATACCTAATCCTGAACAGGCGCGTGACCAGGAACTCTGGCCACTACCACTCTGAGAGACAAACTCTTATTATCCTCTTTCTACAGATGAGCACGCGGAGGCCCAGAGAAGGCTCATTCGCCTGGGGTCACCGCGCGGGGCTTGGCTGGGCGTCTCTCTCCAGACCCGTGTTCTTGACCTGTGCCGTATTTATTCACGAAGATCAGAGTGGTCAACGACACTGCATCTCAGCGCCCTGGACAGGTCTGGCTCTACCGCCAGCAAGCCGGCCGTCTTACATGTTTAGTCGGCTCTTACCTGATTTCTAGCTCCGTAATTTTTTAAAGGGGAAGAAAACGCAAAGTCTTGTTGAACGGTTTGACGGAGCTTGAGCTGTGTTATTTCATGCTAGAGTCTATGCTTTCCAAAAGTCTGGATTTTCCAGAATCTACTGACTGACTCATTCATTTGATAACTCGGCAGAACACGCAAATCAGGTTCTCATTAAGCAATTACTAAATAGTAGCTGTTTTACTACCACTCTTATTGTTAGGACAACAGACACATAAATGATTGAAATGCACAGTTCAAGTGCAATACCACAGCATGTTGGCTCTGTCCAGATGGTTCCCGACCCCACGCCAGAGCATGTAAGTAAGTGCACGTTTAGTGACGTTTTCAGTCACTTGTGATGGTTAGTTCTACGTGTACATTGGGCTGGCCATGGGTGCCCAGATTAAAGCTTGTTTGGGGGTGTGCCAGGCAGGGTGTTTCTGGACGAGACGAATCCGTGGACTCAGACCGTCTGCAGCCACGTGGGGGAGCACCCAGTCTGTGGGGGCCCGAACGGAACCACTGGCACCGGAAGGGAGAGGTCGCCCTTCTGCTCCCACCTGCCTGCCGGAGCTGGGGCAGCGGGTCTCATCCCAGGGCCTTGGACGAGGACTCAAAGGTCAGCTCAGCAACCTGTTCTCGGCCCGCAGA